ACCGACCTTCGAATCTCTTCACCCAACACTTCTACTCGAAATGGAAGTAATCTCAACAATTATGAAACAATAGATTCCTCGAAACCCAACTTTTCTTCACTATTTCACTGTTTGAGTCATAACGGGGCTGCTGTTCAACAACATGTGAATGTTGCAACTAGTTTAAGAAGTCTCCCTGTGGCCTGACTACAGCTACACTTGGGCTCACCTCATTATTGTCCTCAAGCTAACTCACCAAGTTCGCCCACTTTCCCTCAAACGAGTAGTTCAACATATACGCTCATCTTCCAATTGTAAGCGCTAGTCGTCAGGTTGATGCAGCCTCCTCCTCCCTCCAAACCTGCACGTTTGTTCTAGCCGGCATCATTATTGTCCCTATACTTTCGCTCTTCTCCCCTCTCCACTTTTCCATCAATATCTCGTCTTGCCTCCCTCTCCTTTCCTTCAGAGCCACATCTGCCCTTTGCGCATCCTTTGCCCATTTGGCGTGTCGAGAGATACTAACGGGGAGGTGAAGTGGGTTGTATCTTATATCATTGAAGCTACGTAAACTCTCAAGCCATGTGGCTTGTTGAACTTTGCAGTTGCCCATTTACTCGAATTTCTTCCCATTTTCATGTCATGTCATAGTTGGAACTGCCTTTGGGTCAGTGCAAATAAAATCGGTCTTTTGTCATTTGCACTCTTTGATTTCAACACTCCTATTATCTCAGTCTGTCGATCCGCCCTGCAGCTGAGATCCGACCTCACCAGCCTATGCACTCGCCTCTCCCTCTTTCGCACTCCTCAAACTTCATAGCTCGGCTCGTGCAACTCTCGTCCACATAACTATCCATATAACATATCAGAGTCCTTATGAAGGCGAAACTCTCCCACATCCTTGCTCGACATGGGCAGGGTCAAACTAATAAGCCTGCCACAAAGTGAAGGGGAGCCGGAAAAGCTATGCCCTCTAAGGGCTCAATTACACCACACTCGTGTACATGGTTTCAAGCCGAAAACCTGAACAATACGAAAAAGGGAGAAGTAAATAAATGGATGGCCGGTGGACAGATATGTGGACATATAGAAAAATGGCCTGAAACATCAGTAGTCAAGACGGAAGACAGATCGATAGGCGGACGGATGGGTAGATAGGTCGGTAGCTATCAAGGTGGCCGAACAGATAGATGAATAAATATTTGCCTGAGTGATACATATACAGATACAGAAGTCAGCCAATGGATAGCTAGTAGAGATGTAGAAGAATAGGTGAATGGGTAGGTTGATAGATAGACGAATGAGTGGCTGCATGTACAGATGTGTAGTTACCTTGGTGGATAGATGTATGTAATCAGGGGTTTGTAATTATCTTGATGGATAAGCTGGTGAATAGACCGTTCGTGGATATACAGTTAGTAGGAATGATGATGGTTGTGAAGTATACGTGTTTGTAGTTGTAGCCGTAGGCACGACAACGAGCAGAGCGGAATGCTGTCTTCTCAAATTGTGTCGACGACAGTTTCATTTGGGTTGAGGTCGTAAAGATGGGAAGTGGCTGAAAAATGGTAGTGCGCGCAGGTGCAGGAGCGGCCACCTGGCAGAGTGGAGACCGATGCATCAAAGACATATGATCCGAGCGACTGACCCATTTGGTTGGGAGAGGTATGAGATGCAGATTTGTATGATGCGACAGCGGCTTTCATAGTCTTCGGCCAGTGCCTGCGCCCGGGACGGGAAGGGAGTCGGTACAGGTCTTGCATCATCTGAGCCTTTGGGGAGTTTGGAGGGATGCGCATGCAGAATGAGAGGGGCGGAAGGGGAGGGGCAAGCCGGAGAGTGGGACTAGTGAGCTGTGAACGAGAAGAGTGGCTGTGTCAACTGGCTGGTCCGGAGGGAGGCGAGCAGAAGGCACATTAGCGCTGGTCTCTTGACCCTCTGGCGGATGAAAAGAATCGTCTCCAATTCCTCATCGTACCACCTGCCCTCGGAGACGGTTCTATCTGGAAGACCAAAGTCAGCCTTCATTCTTCCCGGCCCTGCCTCACTTCTCTCCCCACTCCTCGACACATGCACAACCTGTCAGCACACACGACCGGCTCTTCTCCGATAGACACCTGCCCCACACCCCGTTCAGATCACGCCCTGCCTACAAGCCAGAAATGGCGACAAGTCTTGCCCTCTAAACAGCACATTTGGCCGGAATGACTGGTGCTCGAGTCTGGCACACCAATGCTTCACAGACTGTGAGGTCTGAGAAGATACTGTTTTCTTCTTCATAACATGTCGCAGATCGTATTGTGAACAGACTCGCTGGCTGAATAATATTCTTTTTCGGTATAATTCGATTTCACAACTATCAATACGTCTTGTATACGAGCTTAGTCAGCCTATCTTGGGTTAAATTATTCACAACTTGTTGGAATTGCTTTGTCCAAAGTCCTCTGTTCCAGAGTTGGGCCGTGGACGTGGTGCATTGCCAGAAGTTTCACCGGCATTGTAGTCGTCATCATCATCGAATCTTACTATGCTTACCACCAAGCTACAACTTACCAATTAAAAGGTTAGCCAAACGATTGACTTCCATTGTCTCTTGACAAGTTGTTGCTTGGTGCTGAGAATGACAGGACTCACTGATGATGCTGATTCCACGGTCTGATTCGGGGAATTCTGATAACTAAGATAGCTGCGGACTTCGGACAAAGAGCGTCCAACTAAGTGGTCCTGACAGCACAAGTAAGTTGCACAAACGAGGTCAGACCACTTTTATACATCAAAAAGAGACTGCGACCTCAATAGAGGCCACAACATCTCGATCTTCATGTATGTGTTTGAGAACCTATAGTTGAATTTTTCACTACTCTGTTTCACTTAGCTCTAGATGATATAAACTGTTGGTAGGCAAGGATAAGTGAAATTCAATGGTATTCTGAGGCCTACTCGTTGCACTGTGGGTAAGCTCAATCATCCGTCCTTAAATCACCTTAAGACATCTAGGATGACTCGGTTCTTTTTACATATTTTAATAGCATATTATTAATAAATGTAAATAATAACTTATATAATATGAGTATATGAGTATACCTTGAAGTTATCAGTACTTCCTGACTATGAACTGAACCACTTGACTAATGGTGAAGTTTTTCACACTAAACTATGACTAGGCTTTCCTTAACATTCGAAGATATGAAGACCAAGATGGTGTGGCCTTTTGTATAGTCGCGGTCTCCCTTCATTTCTACACAAGTTGTTTGACCTTGCTTTTGCAATTTGGTCATATTGGCAAGACGACCTAGACGAATGCACCTTGTCCAGAGTCCATAGTATGCATAATAATTTACAGAGTCGGACCGTGGACTTGGAACATTTCAAGACTTTTCGCCGGCATTGTCGTCAACATCGTCAGTGGGCCTTGTCATTCCCTTAACATTGCTTACGAAAAGACTTACTCATTCTTTATAGACTACAGGTCTGATATCATCTGGGTGCTATCAACGCCTCCAATAGCAGTGAACCTAAGAATATGACCTAGTCTGACCCAAGTTCCTATACAAGTTCTACGGACATTTTCCAAATCGACGTATCTAGCATATATGTTCTTATATATATGAAATGTATTCACACTATTCCGTTTAAGGTGATAAGAGGAATTTTCCCACACTGCTATGAATATACCTTACTTTTTCATTGATGTTCACATAGCCTTGCTTTCCAAAAAGGTATTCTTATTTAGGCTGAAGTGGACTGTAGTTTCGACCTGAACTGGTCTCATCAGCTGCCCCGGCGATACTCGAAGCATAACAGGGCAGCATATAATCACGACACGTTGGGACAAATGTGAATTTCTTACCATATTATATGGTGGGATTGTTGATGAAGCAAAGTTGCATTTGCTATAGTAATTGATTACAATATTTATTTTTCGTTTTATATGCAGATTTTTAAGACTACTAATAGATGATGAGACCTAGGCGATGTCGAAGCTAAGGTTCACTTTGGATGAGAATACCATTTGAGTAAGCAATTTTATGTGAAATTTAATGGAAAAGTAAGATATACTCATGGCATTGTGGAAAATTTTAACTACCCTTATCACCTTAAATGAAATAGAATGAGTACACCTCAGATATATGATCAGTTGGTAGTCTCAAAAACCAGCTTATTTTAACAAAAAATATGTGAAGATATATTTGCGACTGTAATCGTGGACGCTGCTTAATTTTGATGTGAATAACTTTTGAGACTATGCATAATTCTTGTATAAGAATTTAGTCACTCTAGGTCACGCAATATGATTTAAAGACAGATAGTTAAATTTTCCGACAATGAGATAAGTAATGACGTCCCTTAGTTTCAATGAAAATAGTTTTCGTGACTATCAGTAATCCTTAAATATCTACTCACATCGAAATTGCCTGGTTTACTAAATGACCTTATGTAATTAAGTTCTTACTCAATAATTAATGAAACTTTCTAAATTTACCAACAACAATAAAGGAAATGTACAAGAGGGGTACTGACTGAATCTTCGAATATAGAAAAATTGCGGATCTTTTTCACCGGTGCCCCGGTCGCCGTCAGATTTTACTTCTACTTTTTGAGTATATTAATGATAGACTGCTAGTCTCATGTGCCATTATTATGCTCATGCTAGTTCAGCTGGTCTCTTCTCCATCAGGAACACTCAGCCGTATAAATAACTAAAGCTCTGATGCCGATCTGAATATTACTTCAAATGCTAGCCTGACTGAAATATGAAGATGAGTTCATGAGAAAAATTTAGTTATTGCAAATGTGCAAGTTTGTTAAAAGTCTTCTGCTCGAATGAAGGGACTCCTATTACGAAGCGTAATTGCCACAGATATCTGCTTACGAAGGAATTCACAACAGGTTGCAACTAAATGGGCAAATGCCAGGACGTCCTTTATCGGTACACATAAAGGGAGTCAATAATAGCTTTTACATTCCCGGAAGAGTTACTATATCTTATTGTAGGTTGATTTCGTTTTGCATCAATGCAACTAAACCATTATTTCCCATTTATCAAGGCTAGTTCAAGTTCTATTGACAGAATTGTTTTCAAATATCTTTTGATCAAACTGTTCTCCATAAAGTTCTGAAGCCAAGTGGATTTGTGGCATTCTCGTGGCGAAATGAAGCTGGGCGCACGCACCAACAATTGAGAAAATTACACCCAAAGCACAAGGGAAAATAAATCTCACATATGAGCCTAATATCTCTACTCGAAAAGGGAGGAAATCGCCAAATCCCTCTACTCCCACGGGTAGGTCTTATCATATATTAGTGAGGAGCAGGTTGGCGCTTTTCTTAAGTTGGAATGGGATTGCTGGTCAACCCACTTGAAAAGTTTCTTCGCCAGTGGTGACTCTAGTTGGCTTTGCGTGTCAGACAATCTGTATAACGATTCAATGAATTATTGTCGCTCTAGGTGAAATCTCAACAGATATTAACGTACATATAATCGTGCATACGAATGAGACTGATCGAGCTTGCGCGTTTTGTTTATGCTTCATACAGTTTCCCTGCTGTGAATGCAATAAATGTATTTCATACGTAGAGGCATATCACCTTCACGTATCATGAATAGTTACTCAAAAGGGTAGAAAGCAAGAAGAGAAGAGACTTCAACATGCCTTCAATGGTAGAACGGGTTAATCACACTCTCAACTCAACCTCATCAGCTCTGGCCGAGATAAGTTCGGCAATGCCCATCAGGTTTTCAGGCTAGTTACTTTCGCCAATGAGGCACAGATATTATTACCATGAAGCTAATTTGAGGGAATTGAAGACTCTATGCCCCTTACATTTACATTTTATC